AAACGAATCATGTTAATATAATTTATGTTTATTTTTGTATTAATAGCTTTTGTAAAGTTGTTCCAGGTGTCATAAAAATGTGCATGTATTATCTGGCAATGCAATTTTTTGTAAATCAATTAACTAAAATTCATTCTCAAAATACTTCTGCATAAGATTATTAAGTTCATTAACACAACTATATTATTTTAATTATTGCAGCAATCGTAAATAAACTTACCATGGCGGAAGCTACTGCGCAAAGTTATGTTTTCTTCGTAGCTGGCTTCGAAACCTCCTCGATGACAGCAACGTTCGCTCTCTATGAATTGGCTCTACATCAAGATATACAAGAAAAAGTTCGCAAAGAAATCGACGAAATATTGACAAAATATTGTAACGATTTGACTTATGACGCTGTGAACGAAATGGCATATCTTCATAAAGTAGTAAACGGCAAGTATATATTGTGACACAGTCTACTTATTGAGAAATGTATTATTTTCAACAAGAAAGAAATTTTTTTTACGAAAATATCTTATTACGTATATGTATGTACGTTTAAACAAATTGCTTCTATTTAAGAAGAGACCTTCATATCTTTCTTTTACATATTACAGAGACTATGAGAAAATATCCACCTCTTCCAATGTTGAATCGTATCTGCACTAAGGAACTAATCTTACCAACAACAAACATTTGTGTACCAGAAGGGACATTAGTAACTATACCGGTGCTTGGTCTGCATCGAGATCCGTCGATATACCCAGACCCAGATAAATTTGATCCTGAGCGATTTAACGCAGACAAAATAGAAAAACGGCATCCTTACACTTATTTACCATTCGGAGAAGGTCCACGAAACTGCATTGGTAAGAATAAGTATTAATTTATGTATATACATGTAATATAATATTAAAGGATAAACTTCATTTCTGCCGTTTTTTTCTTGGAAAACGCATTTATTTCAATAAGGATATGAATTAATATTTTAGTCAAAATATTTTTCATTGTTTTTTGCTTTTTTCCATCCTTCTGACAAAAGTTGGATTCCGCGACGATAAAATGAAGTGTCTTTTGAAGCAAGCCATGTATCTATCTATTTTCGTATTTGTTCCTAAAAATATGTATCAGCGAGCGCGTGTGTTGCATCGATCAATAAAGACGATAATCCGATAAGGCCAAGTCTGAAGAATAGGCTGAGGGCTGGAGAACTTTTCCTTAGCATCTTGTATCTCATATTTATTTTTGGACAACTTTTATTTATTAAAATAATATTTTCGGTTTAGAAAAGATTAGGAAAGATTAGGAAAGTTTAAGAACGTATTAATATCATTAGTATTATTAATTTTCAGGTTCGCGATTTGGCTACGTACTGACGAAAGTTGGACTCGTGAGTCTGCTGTCGAAATACAAATTTAAACTTGATCCTCGGACACCGGTTCCGCTTGTTTTTCACGAAAAATATCTTACTCTTGCAGCAAAAGATGATGTGTATCTTATTGTCGAGCCACGATAAAATAATTGTATTCTTGCAAAATATTAAAAATAAAAGATATGTCATACACAACAAACTTATTTTGTGCATTAGATGAAAGTCAATCTGATATATCGGTCTCGTAAGAGATACTCTCTTCTCGGAAATTAAAGATTGCGCTTCATTAATATTCTGATAAAAACATAATTTGTCAGAATAGATATAGCAACATAGCAACAATATATTTCTACTCACAAAGCTATAAACCTAGATAGCCAAGCCTGCAAATACAGATATAGCATGCAAACATTTTATGTATACCTTGTGAAGCTATTACGACCTCACAAAATTACAAGCAAATTTAAGTGTTTCTATTACGAGATATCATATGGTTATTATATATAAGTATATTTTATATACGTTTCACAATATAGTAACATGTTGCCACTTTGCTACAAATCCATGCAGATAGCCAACAGAGACAGAATATGCTATCAATTTTTGATAGCAAAAGGCAATAAATTTCACACAACTTATTAACTTACTATGGCGGAAGTTACTGCGCAGAGTTTTTTTTCCAGCTGGCTTTGAAAATTCTTCGTTAATATAGCGACGTATGCTTTATACGAACTATCTCAATATCCAGACATACAAGACAAAGTTCGCAAAGAAATTGACGAAATTTTATCAAAGCACAGTAGTTTGATCTATGTGACGCTGTGAACGAAATGACATACATATCTTCATAATGTAATAAATGGCAAGTACATATGTCATCGGAATACATTTCCGCTTGATAAGAGACGCAATTTTTAACAAAGGAAAAGATTTTATTAAATAAAAATACGAGCCTAATTTAATTTCATTCAAATAAAAATATTTTGATACTTTTATGTTTAAATATATTGCTTGTATATTTTAAGAAAAATGTATCTTTATACACTTCGTTTTACATATTGCAAAGACTATGAGAAAATATCCACTTCTTCCGTTTTTAAATCGCATTTGCACCAAAGAAATAGACTTACCGACAATTAACATTTGCGTGCCAGAAGAAGCATTAATAACTATACCGGTGCTTGATCTGCATCGAGATCCATCAATATATCCAGATAAATTTGATCCTGGATGAATCAACGCAGACAAAATAAAGGCATCCATACACTTATTTACTATTCGGAGAAGGGATATTGTATTGATAAGAAAATAAATTAATTTATTGATTTATCTAATTCGATTTATATTTATATTTTAATTATTAATATCCATTATTTTTTTATATAATCATTATATGTAAGTCTATTTATTATAAAATTTCTGTTTAAATTGTCAATGACGGTCTTAATACTTCAATTTCAAAATCCTTTTCAATTATATTACAAATACATATTTTATTTGTAGAAATTTTAATTAGTATATAATAATAATAAATATTCAAAAGAATTTTTTATTTTGATATTTTGTCCAATATTCTATTAAAAATAATAAATCTATCGCATAAACATTATCTCAAGAAGTTTTAATTAAATATTTACTTTGAAATACAAATTACATATATTTTTGAAATTCAAATTTAAGCATTAATTCTTTCTTTCCTTTGCTTTCTTTCTCTTTGTCTCTGTCACAAATATATTCATAAAAGTTACTGTGTTAACAATTTAATTTTGTAGTTTTTTATGCAAGTTTCTTAAATAAAAAAATATTCTGTGACTCTCACAGCGAAACATAAAATATATCTTACTACGGAACCACGATAAAATAATGGTATACAAACTAAATATATTTCTATTTTTTACATATTTTTAAAAAATTTGTATTAATCGATACTTAATTTAGAGATAACTATTAATTATAAAAAATATTAAATAGGACAATTTTACCTATTTTATATATTATTACTTTTTCTGTTTTTATTTCTTGTTTTTCTTATATAATTGTTGGCTTATATAATTTTTATAAAATAAATTTGTTCGGTTTTTTAGGATAAAATATAACACAATTTTATTGACACACAAAATGAATTTTAATCAATTATATTGTCCATTTTTATTGATAACCTCCTAATTGCTATCTTTCCATCAACTTCATTATTCCGCGTTCGTAGAATGTCTGGGACTTATTGGCAAAAAACCAGATGTCTTTTTATCTTTACGGTCTCTTCATCTTTAAAGGTTTTCCCGTTTATAGAGTTCTGCAACGATCGGAATAAGTGATAGTCGAAAGGAGCCAGGTCTGGGGAATACTCAGGATGAGGCAAGACATCCCAGCCAAGACTAATCAATTTGTTCCGAGTGATCAATGATGTATAGAGTCTGGTGTTGTTGTGGTGGAAGATGACAAACTTGAGATTTGCCAATTCTGGAGGTTTTGTACGAATTTCTTGGTCCAATTTTGTTAATTGTGAGCAGTATACGATTGACAAGGACACTTCAGGCTCGTAGTCAGGCTTGTTAGCCCTTATACTTATTATATATGATTTTAAATCGTTGAGCCGGTTAAGTTTCTTCTTTCTAATTGCTCAATCAATTCTATATTTAAACTAACAATTGAGATCTTAAAACGCTAACAACGGTACAAAGCGGATCTTGGCGCTTCCATATATTAGTGTGAATCTTACAATTTTCGGTTCATATAACATCACGTAGCCGCAAATCGCGTGCATCTCCGTAGCTCCGAACCAAGTAGTATGTAATATCACAACTAAATTGCCAAAGGCAATCTAATAAATCGATGCTCAAAGCGTCAAGTCCTGTGAAATCCCCCCCACCTTCGCGATCATCAAATAAATGCTAACTTGCATCTATACGAATCAGTAAAGAATTTATTGGGAAAAAATATCACCTCATGTTCTCAGCCAAGAATCGAACCCGGATCTCCACGTTTGCCGGACGGGCGTTCTGCCTTTGGACCACCGAGGCATATGATAATATTTATCACAATAAACAATCTAGCGTGTTTTCAAGTCGCGTAAATTCATATAAAGAGACACGGTCCGATCCGACGTACACTTCTTTAGCGCCGAGACACGACCGTGTCTCATGATGTATATACATATATGTTTGAGCGAACGTATTATCAAGGCGACGTATAAATAATTGAGTATCAGGAAAGACCGTGGAATGTTAATAAGCGTGATGTTATATAAACTGAAAATAAGATTCACACTAATATTATATGGAAGCACCAAAATCCGCTTTGTACCGTTGTTGGCGTTTTAAGATCTCAATTGTTAGTAAACATTCCACAGTCTTTCCTGATACTCAATTATTCTATAATTAAAGTTATAAAATATTTATTATTTAGGACATTATTTATAAAATGTGGCAAACTGCATAATGGAAAACGTCATATTCAGCTTGGATAATACAACAACATTAGCAAAATGCCATGCTACTGTTTAACTTTGCATAACTCAAAATACGTACCATCAAAAAAAAAAATGTTACTTAATAAACTCAAGTGTACATATATTTGTGTAAGAATATGTTCACGTTTAAAAAAAAGAAATGCGGAAATGTATGTATAATTAAGTATTAAAATGTGTCTTGAAAAGAGTTTTAAAATGCTCGAAAGTAAGAATAAATTATAATAAACAGCAAAAACTATTCTGTACTGCTATATTAATGTCATTGTGTAACAGTGAACTACTAAAGAAATAATTTTGTAAATAATTACTAAAATTCGCCATTTCTAATAGCAGAGATTAAGAAGATCCATCTTCAAAAGATAATAATATTACCTTAAAAGAAAGTTATTTCCCGCAAACATTTACATTGTGTATACAATATATATAACTTTATTAATAATTAATATTTTAAATTAAAAACTTGAGTGAATATGAAAACCGCTAAAAAAGTTCAACACGCTTTATTAGCATGCCTAGAAAACTATATTACCATAAAATGTCATGCTATTGTTTAAGTTTACATAACTTAATATGTATATGAAATGTATACAACCGAATAAAATGTTAAATAATGAAAAGAGCACCCAAGTGCACACAAGGTGGCATTATTGACACAAGGCTTGTGGGAAAGTAGTGCGAATTAAACTAATTGTAAATAGAAGAGTCCTGTATTATTTTAAAATTCTCGCAATAATTAACGAGAGATTAATTACAAATGTCTGTGAATCATCGTGCATTTGCATGATGCGGCGATAGTTCAGCGTTTATGATTTCTTAATGAACGGCGTGGTAAGAGGCGTATATAATATGTATAAAGACCAACAGCTATACACAAGCGGCACATTGTTATTTACAGAGCGCTCCTTCCAATAAGTTTCGCCGCGCGCCTATATTAGCGACCGTAAACGTTGAGCTGTCTCTTTTGTCATCAAGTCACGTGGACGCGTGCTGATTCGCAGATCTTTATAAAAAAATCTCGAAATGATACAGAACATTTAATTCAGTTTAGTCCGCTCTACTTACGCACGATTGGTGTATCAATAATTACATAGACACCCTATATTTGTGTGATAATATTCTCAAATTTAGGAAAAAGAAGAAAAAGTTTATATAATTAAATGCTAAAATATGCCTTGAAAACATTTTGAGATACTAGAAAGTAAAAATGCGTTGAAAAAAATGTCGACTACATGTCCTAGCATATCGAGTGCCACTAACAGCGGGCTACTAAACAAATGACTTCGTGTATAATCATTAGAATTCACCATCTAGCTAATAGCGAAGATATTAAGAGGGATTATTATATCTACAAGGGCTACACCTTCCTTCCTAATAATTTAATGTATATGTAAAAATTAAATAAAACATAATAAGTACAACAATAATAATGATGATGATAATGATAATAGTAATAATAGTAATAATGATGATAATAAATGATTATCGTACATACAATAGAAAGTATATTTAAAATTTAAAGAATTGGATTTCCATAATTTATTTGTATTTCAATAGTATATTTATTAGGTATAATATTTGCATTATAATAAGCACAGAATATCTATATTTTTTCTATCATGCGTATTTGCAATGAATTTTAATAGCTTTGAGATACATATATTTACTTTTTAATAGCGCACGTCTCTATTTTAATAAAATACCAAGATGTTAAATAGAACGTACCTAAAAAAAAATTTTATAGTAATTTGCTTGCAATAGCAAACAGTAGTCTTCTTCATAGTTCGATAAGACGGATCATTCTCTTTTGCCTATGATTTGGCAAACGAATACGTTTTCAGTAATTATACTCTCAGCGAAACAATAAATAATCTTTAATTGTGTTCACAATTATTAAATAATTATCTTTTGCTGAGTCTCGCATTTGTCACGCAACGGTGAGTATTTCAAAATGATCTACTATGAGCAGTGTTTATATATATTCCACTGTTGATTATTATTAAGTTTCATTTTTTTATTAACGGAAATATGAAATAAAATGTTATTTACAGCAAACATTTACAACAGTAGATATCTTGGCCAGGCCAAACTAGTAAAATAGCATATTTAAAAATCTTTGTAAAAATAATTCAAATTTATAAAACAAATAAATACATAATTCAATAATGCTTTAATCTGCGAAAAAATTTATTAGATGTCCGTAGAGAAGTAGACAATAATACATTTGTTTATATAAGTAGAATTATGCATGTAGATTGGGAAAATGCTTTTGACATTTCTTATTTTATATATGTTTCTTTTTACGATAATAGATCGCTTTTCATGATATTATTTTTACGTATATCGGATATGGCGTAAAGTAACGCTAGACTATGGGCAATTCGTGATTCGCGATACGTAATTCTGTATTTATATAAGATTTGCGAATAATGTAAACAGAGTAAAGTTGTGTTATGTCGTACCCCATTAATATCTAAAGACACACCAACTAGAATGCCTTTAGTAGTTCTTTGTACAATAGGTTTTCAGTAACAGCAGTCTATATGAAAAAAGAGGATTGTATATGTACAAATATACATTTACATTCAGCTGTACTTTCTACAATATTTTATTCTTCTTGTAAATCTGCTTTTTTTAAAGAAAAAAACACTATTGATTTTTAAACAAAATCAATTTTTAAATCTATCCTCATAGGCAGCCACATTTTACCATCCTTCTTCTTTGCAATATCGTCAAATTTGTATAAATAACGTTCTATAAGTGTAAAAAATATTTCATAACTTCAAGTTTAGAATCTTTTAAATGACACTTTTAAAAAAGTAACATAAAAATTTCAATTTAAAATATTGATCATTAACAAAGTTATTGCACAATGTAATTTACTGTGTAAATAAATGGGGGAAATCATAGATATCACTTTCTTCTCTATGTGGCACCTTTTATATTTCCTTTTAGAAAATAATGTTTGTTAAAATTATACAAGAATTCTAAAAAATTCTGAAAATTCTGAATAAGAATATGAAAATTCTAAGAAAAAATTGTATCAGAATATTTACGTTATCTATTTTATCATTTTCTATTGACATTTGTGTTTATACCACTTTACATAATTTTTAAGTACGCAATGTATACCAAAAGTTACCACGATAAATGACGAATTATAAATCGTAATTACGAATCGTAAATCGCAAATGGTATGAAAGATCTACATTGACGATTTTCTGCAAATTGTTTGATATTCACGCAACATATTCACGATCGCTTTGGTCGCCGATCAAGCGACACCGCGCCGGGCTCTGACCGGGCGGTGATTTCGGAAAACTCGTCGGGTCGTTTCGCCGAAAATCGCGACAATTCGTGGAATCGGGGATAACCGAGGGTAGAAACGGGCTAACAATTTCGGGAGCGATCACTCCTGCTCCAATAGTTAAGCAATTAGTCAATTTTTATTTTAACACCAGACGGGAGATAGGCGAGAGAAAGAGACGACGACTTTTTCCTGATCGACATTTTGTAAAAGACACGGTTCTTTGGGACAACAGCCGCTTACAATAAATCCTTGATTTTAAGGAACCGAGTATATTCTTATTGTCGGATCTCCCGCGACGAGCACAGCATCGCCGAGTCAGTGGCGTATGCACGGAAGGTTATAAGTCGGACGCCGTCTCGACTGTTATTACACCGACATCATTTTCTTTCCATTCCATCCAACACAAATCTTATACGAGTTAATTACAAACCACGAATTATGAATCATAAATTGTGCATCTGACACTAGCTTAAAATTCTCAAAACTTCGTTGTTTGCCAATATCTTTGATACTGTTGGTAATTCTCGTCATTTCATTATCCATAATTTACGATTTATAAATCGCAATTCGCCAATAAATCATGTATACTACATTTATATACACTTCTGTGATCCTTATTCTTGTAATAAACACTTACATGGATATACAGTTGAACTTCAATAACTCGAATCTCAAAGAGCTGAACTCTTCGATTTATAGAGTTTTTGACTTATCGAAATTCGAATAGAAGAGAATTAATATATGAAAATTCGACTTACGGAGGATTTGTACGAAAGTTTATAATTTTCCGATTATAATGGCTTTTAAAAAAAAAATTCAATCTTTGAAAGTAAATTTTTTATTACATATACATAATAAATGTAATCATAAATCAAATACCAGGCTATTACTCACGGTTACACATATATGTAGCTACAATTTCGAATTATAGAAGCAGCGATAATAGAAGTTTGACTTATAGAAATAAACTTTGACTTGTAGAGATCTGGGCACTTTAAATTCGAGCTGCAGAAGTAAAATAATACCATACATCTAAATATCTGACAAAAAATTCAATTTATTTCAATTTATAGAGGTTTTCTGCAGTAAAGCGAAGGGAAACAAACAGGAAATGAACAAAATTTTCGTCTTACAGAGGTTTTCGAGTTGTAAAAATTCGAGTTATCGAGGTTTGATACTATATAATTTCTATACAAACGCATCAAAAACGCAATTATTCATTTCAATTTCATCAAAAGTTGATTAGGTTATTTATCGTAAACGATTCCAGTACACAAAGAAAATTCCATTAAGAAATAAAAAGATGATTTTTGTAAACGTATGCCATTTAATTTTATCAAAAAATCGTTCAACTAATGAATTGGCACATTATAAGCAATTAATGGAAATTCGATGCAAATGTAATACTATTCATATTATAATTAATGAATGCCAGACAAATAGTTAACGAATTACGAATTACAAATTACGAATTGTCTAGTACAAGCTTATATAAAAGCACAAAATAAATTAGAACCTAATTATAGTTTCTTCGTTAAACCTATCTTATTTAAATATGTTAACAAGACAGAGTTTTACAAGACAATTTATTATTATATTTTAGAATTGCGATGGTACTTGCGGAATTAATTGGGGCTTTTATTGTTGCTTTGAGCATTGTATGTCTTTATTATAAATACGTGATATTCAATTTCTGGCGTAAGAGAGGTGTTTTTTACGTCGAACCTGTAATACCAATAACTGGAAATATAACAGCTCTCGCAACTGGAAAAGTGCAAGTAGGCGAGTATCTTTAACAAGAAAAGGGACCTAATCGTTTCCCTTCGAATTTTAATGTTTTCCAGACATTAATAAAAGACACATTTTTCTGTATATTTTCTTCTTTGCACTTTTAAGGGGTAAAACATCTCTACAGAAAAAAAATACAAAATAGAAAAAATTATTCTATTTTGAAGCCAATATCGTCGAAACTACAATTGTACATAAAACAATAAATATTATTAATATAGATGCGACACGTATTCCACATTCTTTGTATTTACATAATACAATTAGGGATGTTATAAAAAATGTGTACAATTTAATTGTGCACATTTTTTATGATATATTGTAAACAATTTTGTTGTGCTGCGTCCTTCTGTTATTTTACTCTTGATCGCCATATAATTTCATTAAAATATTTTGTAAGTGTTATCTAGCCACGATAAAACTTCTATGATTATGTGCGTATGTGCGTAGAATGTTTTGTAAATAGATATTATTTCCATCGTTATCTCTTATTATGCAAAAATTCGAAAATGAGAAACGTAAAGAATCGAGCACATGAATATCTGATATTCATGTGCTCGATATATGACATCCCTAATTGTATTATGTAAATACAAAGAATGAGTACCGATGATGCATATAGAGGCGTTTATTATTATTCCGTAAAAATGTTATTTTGGAAAATAATTTTATTATATGGTTGAATTCGTCTTAAAGTAATCTTTAATTTGATTATTAAAAATTTGAAAAAATTGTTTGTAATAGGTGTATAAAATGAAAAATTATTTTAAATTATAATTAATAAGTACTCTTAAAACCTCATTCAACTTTTATTTCAAACATTTTTTTCTACCACATAGCTTCGACAATATTGACTTTGAAATAGAATAATCAATTTTTTTTTCTTAGGTGTGTTCCACCTCTTAAAAGTGCAAAGGGACACACATACAAAAAAACGTGTCTCTTATTTTTGGCTACAAAACAAAACATCTTTAGAGCTTATCAAAATCAAAAGGCGACATTTAAGTCCCTTTTCTTTTAAGTAATGTTAAGACGTACTACATTAATGTAGTCACTTTCATGTGTGTAACTTATATAATGTTTTATTTATTTAAATATTTAGAAATATTTAAAATTAGAAAGAAGAAAGTTAATATCTCTAGGTAAAATTAATTAACAAACATAAAATTTGATAGCAATATGGTAAATTAGGATCTACATTCCTATTAATATATTTTTATATTTTATTAAATTGTAGTTGTTGTTTTATATTTTACAAAATTGCAATAATAATTTAAAATAATTTATAATATAATAATTTATTTTTATTACAAATTTAATACAAACTTATTTCTCTTTTTATAAAATTAATACTTTATCATGATGTTGTGTGCAATTATCGTATTTTTACTTAAAATAAAAAAATCGCAGAATTAAATTAAACTTTTGTCAATAGGCGTACTCTTCCAGAATGCTTACATGAAATATAAGAATCATCGCGCTTTTGGAATGTATACACTTCATAAACCAAATTTGGTAATCGCCGATCCTGAGCTTATTCGTACGGTGTTAACAAAGGAATTCGGGAGTTTTCATGACCGTGGAATGTACTGTAACGAAATGATTGACCCATTGTCTAACAATTTGTTTTTTATGCCTGGAAAGAAATGGCGAAATATGCGAGTCAAATTGACTCCCACTTTCACTTCGGGAAAATTAAAACAGATGTTTCCGATTCTGAAGGAGTGTAGCGAAGAACTCGCAAAGTATCTGGAGAGCAAAGCACAAATGAGAGATTCGGTGGAGATGAAAGACATATTTGCAAGGTAAATTATTTTTAAGTAAACTATTATTAAAACAAAGTTTTTTTGAACAACGAGAAATAAAAATGAGAAATAGAATTTCTTAGTTTAAAGAAAAAATTGTGAGTATTAATCTTGAAAGTAACACTGAGAAAAATTTCCAGATTTTTTTCCGTTGAAAAAAATCGGATTATTTTTTCTAAAAAATAGCAAATGGATATTTACGATTAACTTGGCCGGACAAAAAATCCGATTACTAGTTCATCGGATTTATTCGTCGGAATGTTAAGGAAACATCCGTTGATTTCTTCTCCAACAGAATATAATTTCGATCGCATTCACGCGTACTTTTTTGATTGAAAATTTGCAACCGGTTAATTGTTTATTATCCGATGAAATTGGACTGTTTCTGTAACATAACTTTTTAATAATTTTAGGATTTTATGGTTGTTTACTGTACTCTCATTTATGTTTATTGTTCGCGGATTTTTATAGAAAAATTTTATATACGCATAACATACATGTACATATGTCTGTATAATTTTTCCAGTATCTAGTAACATAGAAATCCATGAACAATAAACGTAAATGACGAAATAAAAGTGGTATACAGCCGTGAAATCCCATCATAAGTTTTACACACACACACATACACACACGCACGCACGCACGCACGCACGCGCGCGTGCGTTGAACGCATTTTTCTTACAATTAGTGCAAATATTCTATCTATATACTGAATACTCTATCAACGAGATTAAGTTGTCAGTCTGCGCATACGAAGCAGTGAAGAGAGCGTAGCTCTTAACTGCTGTCAATAGCAAACTACACGAGCAGTGCAGCACTGATTGTAAGAAGATTTTTCTGATTTGATCACTTAAAAATTTCATAGAAATGTAATTTCCGATAAAATGTAGACGGAAAATGAGCCGCCATATATATTTATCTGTTAAAATTTTATAAGATAAACGTGTGAGTATACGGCACTGGCACTGTCGCTATACTATCTTTAGTAGCACGCAAAAACTTTGCGTGCCCGCATTTTATATGCATCTTATTAATTAATGCAATCCGAACATGCCAAGTTTTTGCTTTACTATGATGCTATTGGTCATTTTAATCACTTTAAGCCTGTTTTATAAAACTTAAATTTATTTGGAAAGACGATGGCATTAAATCTTTGCTGCATATAATTTTGGGTAGTTTAAACGGATTATTAAAAAAAATATTTTTTTCTCTGCAGTGTCTAATCAAATACTTGGCAACTTGTATCTCATATTCGTTTTTAGACAACATTTATTTGTTAAAATAATATTTTTGGTTTAAAAAAGATGTAACGTACGATACTTATTTATATACTTGCGTAATTTTTTTTTAAAGAGTTTTTGTTAGGTTATACTTAATTCGGATATTTTATCCGATCAAGTGTAATGTCCGATGCGACATCGATTCGACGAATTGGCGATCATTAATTCTCACTGGGTCGGTAAAATTACATAACAAATTATTCCTGCGTGAATTATTCACAAATCAAATGTCAAAGATAAATGAGCGTTTTTTTTATTGCATATTGCTTCTTTCAGAACATATATTCCTAATGCTATGTAGGTATATAGAACTAATTGTATATAAATATATTTCCCTCTTTCTTTCTCTTTCTCCCTTCTCTTTTATTTTTATTACATTTTATTTTATTGTTATTTATTGTTATTTTATTATTTTCTACATTTTTATGATTTTAGAATGCAGAAAGATGTTTATAATGCAAGTTAACAATATTATCTAATATTGTCCAATTGCGTTAATATATATTATTCCATTAATGCTTATTAATGCTCACTAATGCTTTATATTCATACGTAATACGTGCCCAATTAGCACTTCGAGTCTACATAGATAGATAGTATCCAATGCTATCAAACCTCGTCTACAAGCTTTTGAGATCTCCTCTTGAATTCCTTATGCTTTTCGGATCCAGTTTTGACTGCTTTATCGATTGCCTTCTGTAAATTCCTATTGAAGCGTTCTCTTACAAATCGTAACTTAAAGGCATAGCGAAATGTAAAACTGAAATTATTGAAAGAAATGCTTATAAATTACTCTTATGGTTGTAAACGTAAATAAAATGAGCAATAAGTGAATGACAAAAAATTTCATATTACACCTTCTTTATGATTCTGTATCCTATAAATTAGACTTGATGTAATGCATTGCGATATAATGCAATTTTATCAGTTTTTTAAACATTTGAATCTGTACACGAGTACAATCAGAAACTTATACTTTTAGCCTCCATATAAATCCTCATCAATTTCGCTAAATTATAAAAATTTCTTACTTTATGTCAAACCAATTGATTACGTAGAAATGATGATAAAAGACTTGATCTTTGCTCATTTACAAGAATTAATTTGGACCATGAAAAATTTGTTTTGCCAATAATATAATTAGTTTAGCAACTTCTGATAGATATGAAAAAATTCTCGTGCATTACATCTGCTTAGTTTACTCACCGCAGAAGCATAAGAAGTAACCGTTCAAAATAAGTGAGCGTACTTCGCATACGTGGCATACCGATGTTCAATAAATCGGTGACGGTCAATAGCAATACCTTGAAAGGCAAAATACTACCAAAGTAAGATGAACCTTCCGCAAAGCATCTCAACATATGTTCCCATTC